TTTATCCAATGCAAGGATTCTTATTTAGAAATTGTGGTCCTCTTCGACCACATCTTTGGTTACCCTCCCACCCTCCACCCCTCTTGATCCCAACCCCCAGCCTTGGGATGGAACTCTCAACATGAAAGGCGCCATACAAATATGATCATTGTTGTTGTTCAGGATGCAGGGGTGACAAATGCTTTTGGTTTCACATACTACGTGACATTTTTCATTGAACCGATTATAAAATAGCTGTCGTTTCTCTCCAGTCGGTCTCTACCTCACCAGACATACCCAGCCCCGAATCAGAGACAGCTTTCTGAGGAGGTCGGTGCATGCCCCACCCAAACCTGACGAAGCTCGGCCCCTTGAGGAAACAGCCTGCAGTTTCAACTGCTCTGAATACAGAACGAAATGCTAGGAGTCGAGACATTTTCGGGTTGAAGGAGGCCATTCGGACTATCGTGTCTGCGGCATTGCTACCTCGCACCGGTTTTATTTAAGTTATCTTTATATTAAAGCCAAACACCTCATCGGGTGAGGTGATCGCAGCTGGACGAGCAGCAGGAAGATCCCCACACTGTTAAATAGAATTACACCAAACGCTACAGATGGAAACAGGTCAATATTCCATGTCGTGTTTACACTCCCCCCACCCCCACCCCCCACCCCAAGTCCCTGCTTCCCCTCTCCTCACACCCCTCTATGTCAGCGGCCCCCAAAGAGCTATTCAAAAAGGGAGTTTCACTCTCCTGTTGTTTTGGTCAACAATTCCCCTCCTGCCCTACAAAATCATTCATTCACTTTATGGCTGTCTGTGGGACATTGCTGTGTGTATATTGGAGCCTGGCCGCTGTACTGTGGTGAGGTGAGGTGGGGGAAAATCACACACAAACCAGTCAATGTCCTCAGTTTATGGCACAGGCGCCGGTGTTATTTAACACATCACAGCTCGCAACTTTCACCCTGTAGATCATACGTACGGTGAATAACAACAGCATCCATGCATATTGCTTTACCCAGGCTAAAGGACGAACCACAAGGAAAAATATTTCGGATTAAACTCCTGGAGAAGCCAGCACGTTCCTTCGCTGAAAGTTTTCAGAGTTATTGATCGAGTAGCTCCAAGTCATCGATTACTCTATCCGGGAGCCAATTCCAGACAGAGTTGGTGTGTGTGTGTGAGCGCAAGGGAACAGTAAGACTTTACGTGATTCACTATTGATTCATACTCGCAGGCGACACTTCATTTCAGCTTGTGCTGAATACAGTTACATCATTTATGCATGAGAGAAACAGCTTCTCACTCATTCATTCATTGCCTTCCGGACCCTTAAACTGACAATGCTTGAGATGGGATTGACACCAGGTTTAAAAACAGCAGCTGCTGCTTTCTGCTTCTGACAACAATAATTACATTTGTCTAACGCCTTGCACGTTGGGGGGACCTCCCAGGGCAGTGAGGAGGTGGGGATAGCAGGTGACTGAAGGCATGGTCGAAGTGGAGGATCTTGAGAAAGGTCTTAAAGAAGGCGAGAGGGAGGGGACGAGGCAAAGGCACTGTGGGATGGGGGCAGAAAGGCGGAGGGCCCAACCGCCAGTAGTGGGTGGGGGGCTGGGCGGGGGACAAAGAGCAGCCGGAGCCCGCTGGACAGAGGGAGCGGACAAGTCTATTTGGAAGGCAGATTAAACGTTCTCCATGGATGGAGTGTAGTTGTAAGGGTATGACAACACATAACAACACAGCACCCAATCTGACGATGTTTCCTGGAGAGGGGAGGAGGGGGAAGAAAGGCCCCAAATTCGAACCTGCAGCCTTGAGGAACAACGCAGAAGGTTAAGGGGAGGCACAGACAGGCCAGCAGAGTGAGCAGATAAGGCAACCGGTTGTTAAAGCTGGTTATCGGAACCCAGAGCCTGTCACAAATGGCCGTTGCAAGGATTTTAATAGAGGAAATTGGACACTACTTGAGGAAAACCATTGAAAGATACAGGGAAAGAGCAGGGGGTTGGGATTAGAACACATCGCTTCAGCAGCATCAACTCACGACGCAATGTGCTGTAAACATTCTTTGATTCTGTGTTGGGAAATAATAATAAATAATTCTTGCATTCAATACAGCACCTTATCATGTTGTTGAGACGTCTCCAAGCGCTTCACAGAATACACTGTAATGTGGATTGATTTGCAGTTTGTGGGTGAAACATGGCAGCTGATTGTGCACAGCAGTGTCCAAAGTTGTGGATTGAGTCACCAAATTTCCCCCTGGAAAGCGATCCGCCAATCGACTAGCAACCGGATTCCTACTTACGGATCGGTAAACAGAGGCGAGTGGAGTAAGGGAACTTGCTTGAGGTTTTGCTCTGCCCCGGAATCGAACCCGGGTCCCCTCGCTTGCGAGGCGAGCGCTCTAACCACTACGCTACAGGACTCCACGTGATGGGAATCCTTCCAGATCTCATCCAAACAGCAACTCTTCACATGTGAACAAAGACAATATAGGCAGAATAGTTAAGTGTGAATCTCTCTATATATTAAATTCTGCGTATTTACACACACACAAAAAAAATCCAAGCTACAAAATTACAATCTTACTTTACACTTTTTTTTAATATGTTCTGACATACATGGAAGGAAAGTACTGTATACATAGTTTATAAATATAGGTTCAGCTTTTATTATCCTTTGTGTAGTAGCTAAATAAAGTGGCAGTTTTACGATTGTACAAAATACAGATTCTTGTTCATTCGACTATGAAACGACTATAAAAATAAAGATGGAATACAGGAATATACTCCTGTGGCAGCCGGTCACTGGCTCAAACACACCAAATATATTGTCCGTCTCTCTCGAACCATGGAAAGAAGCCCTTGTGATGACATGTATAGATAGATTGGGATTATAAAGGGTCTTAAGCAGTTTTGATGTGAATGAGTTATTTGTGCTGTGTGCCTTTATTATCACCAGGAGCTTCAGAATAATTAACGCTATAAAATAATTCGCCAGACTATAAAAAAAGTGTGTTTATCAGGACATAACCGGTTTCATCAAACCGTAGCTCACGTGTACATGTGTGTGTGTGTGCGTGCGTATGCATGTGGAGAGAAGGGGAAGAGAGAGAGAGGGGGAGAGGCATTTGAGAGATATAGAAAGTAGCAGGCTTGGCTGGGACTAAATTGAGCCAATGGTTAACACACAAGCCAGCACATGGGAGTTTATAAGATAACAGGTTCACATTGGAATTAAAATGGGATGCGATACGGGTGAGAAAGGGAGGCTTTTGTGAGCACATGACACCAGGCAAAATTGCTTTGCAATGAAATTTGGGGAGGAAATGCTGCTTTGAGACATTGGCGTGAGGCGTCCTGATGTCTGCCTTCATCTCAACGGTCTCACGAGCATCTCTGGAGAGCGGACGCCAAGCGACACGGGTGAACAAAGGGTTGGAATGTAAATGGGCAGCTGGGGGAGGAGAAGCGGAGATGGTCATACATCTCAGGACAATTGAAGGCAACTGGACAGCACAATATTGACAGCTTGTTCGCTGTTTTGTGAAGGTAAATAGATGGTAGTGTCTGAAAGCCAACTGCGGTCAGATCAAGCAAGCCACCATCTGCTCACATCTAAAGACGCAACACCCGAGGAGACTTTACCGTTAGGTTGCAACCACCAGAAAGCTACTAATGTCTAAATGATGGATATACAACGCATCAGTCGCAACTCACGCCGACCGAAAAGCTTCACGGTTGCTTTTTTTTAAAAAAAAAAGATTTTTAAAAAAAAACGTTATTCATGGCCGGCCTTCAAAGACTCTCTCTATTTGTGAGTACGGTTTAAAAATCCACAGCAAAACGCTTACTTAAAATTCCGATCGGGTCCCACGGGCTTTAAAGAACCAGAGTTAACGGCTTTAACACAGCAGCTTATCACTGAGTGCTTGAACTGCACGTCAAAGGCATTGGCAAATGGCCAAGGATTCGGAAAAAAGGATTGAAAACCGATCTCCCAAATAAAAAGGAATCCAACTTCCGATATGAACATATTAATAATCCTTGCATCTGGTATAGCGCCTTATCACGTCTTCGAGATGTCTCAAAGGGCTTCACAGGATACACTGCAAAGTGAATTGGTTGTGTATTTTGCAGGCGAAACGTGGCAGCCAATTGCGCACAGCAGTGGATTGAGTGACCAAATTATTATTTTTTTAAAAAAAGGATTATTATCCCCAGAAAGCGATCCGTAAATCAGATTACTCTGGGGAATAGCTTCACCTCTTACCATCTTAGCCTCAACCTCTTCCTGGTATCAAACTCCGTCAGTAGAGGGAGGACTATCTCTAATGTCTACCTCTTCCCCCTCATTCCCTCTCCGCCCCCACAATGCCAGTCCATGTTAAGCAAAGAAATAAGACAAGAACATTTCAGCTCCTCTCGCTGGCCGGCCAAGAGAAGGAACAGCACAAAGGCAAATGGGTGGTGGCTCTTTTGTTACTGAAGCTTTAGGTGAGATAAACAGACTTGTTTGGCACCTTTCACTAGGAGAACGTCTCAAAGTACTTTAACAATATAATAATCCTTGCATTTGATACAGCACTTTTCACGTCTTCGAGACATCTCAAAGCGCTTCACAGAATATACTGTAAAGTGAATTGACTGTGTGTTTGTGGGTGAAACGCGGCAGCCAATTGCACACAGCAGCGTCCCACAAACAGTCGTGGATTGAGTGACTAAATTATTATTTTTTTTCTTAAGGGATTATTATTAGGCGAGTCGGGTAAGCAAATTTGCCCAAAGTTTTGCCCGGCCGGGAATCGAACCCAGGTCTCTCTCTTGCGAAGTGAGTGCTCTAACCACTGAGCTGCAGGATTCCACTTTACAAAGTGAGCGGGAGGGAGACAGAGCAGCACTTAGTGACTGACGGGACTTGACGTCTGACAGGCCAACTGTTCAGCAACATGGAATTAAGGGCGGAGGCAGAATGAGTGCACAGCACATAGGGAGAATACAGGGACACCATGTACAATCTCTGTGGGTTTTATAGCTTTTACGGTTGGATTCTAACACTTCCCCAGCCTTCCTTTTGGTTCCCTCAATTGCCTGTGTATCTCATTCACACTTGATGTTGAGTCTTTAAACTCCTTCCCGATTCGCCTGCTGACAACGTCTTAAACTCAAACCCAAATCCACAATAGAAGGCAACAGAAACACGCACTGTACAAACAAAATACAATTCACAGGAGACAAGGGAACACATGAGAGAAGGAACCACTTTTTTTTGAAGGTTAAAAGCATCTTTTGAAGTGATTCACTTGTGGGTGATAAGAAAGACGAAACCGTATGTTGAATACGGTGCACACGCAAACACTGAAACTTAATCTGGACTAAATAAACGTGTGTAAATACAGTAAATGTCATTTACAAGGAATGGGGTGTGGGTAAAATAGAGCCTGCATTGAACACCTATGGCCCAGGTGTAGGTGTGTGTCGGGGGAAGGAATTCTACAGAATTAATGGATTGATTTCCGTCAATTCCACGCAGAAGGCAACATTAACCGCGGCACACATTTCAACGCGCCCTTTGGTCTTAGGTGGGGGAAAAAAATACGTATTATTCTGTAGGAACAGGTTATGTGAAAACTAGGCGAGTTTTAACTGCCCCTTCAGTGAGGAGGCTGTGATTTAAGACGACTTGGAAGGGAAGGCTGTATGTTGAAGAGCGCTTGTTGTCCTAGGGCTTTGTTCATACCTTTCTCACACGGCATTAAGACTTCAGCTTCCGATTCTCTCACCGAGCTTTCCGTTAACCCGTGAGACGATAGATGTTTTTTTTTCTCACTCTTTTTTGAGTCTCCTCTGATATGAATGGGGGTCGGTGAGGAGGATGGGGGGGGGGGTGTCGGGGTAAGAGTAAAGAGTTAAGGTTGAGAGCGGCTGAGTGTGACGGGAGCTGAGCATTCGCTCGCTCGCTCACTGGTGCAGGTGGGACCTGTCATCCGGTCTCTTGATGTGAATCCTCCGGACCCTCTCTATCCGCTCCTCATCCTCTTCCAGATGGTGGGATCGCCCGGCTGCCCCCCCAGTGGCCTCCAGCAGAGCGTCGTCAGGGCCTCGCCCGTCCTGCGTCTCATACAGCAAGATATTCAGCGTCTCCTCGTAGATCCGGGCCTCGGGGAACTCAACCTTGAGGAACCCAATTAAAAACAAAACGCATCCGGTTAATAATGCAGCAGAGCTCTGACTTGCGACTGAGCTCACACATAATGCCAGGCTGAGGCTCAGGGTTTCAACTCACTGTCCCCATCCCACAATAGACACACCAGCCCGTCATGACCACCTGTCTTACATGGTTCGGCTTAAAATCGTTGTGTGCATTTCACTATATCAAATAATAATGATAATCCTTACAGTTGGTACAGCGCCTTATCACGTCGTTGAGACCTCTCAAAGCGCTCCCGCACAATATACTGTAAAGTGGAGTGACTGCGTATTTTGTGGGCGAAATGTAAGGATTATTACTGGGGGAGAGGCGTAACCCAACAATGTCTGAGAGAGGACCTTATCGGGGGATGCAAACCTCGGAATGGGATTCAGAGAGTAAGCTAAGAACACTTCAAGATGCACCACGGCCGCAGAACGAGGTTTGGGGCTGAAAAAGGGCTATTGCAGGAGAGACACCAGGAAGTGTTTCTTTACTAACTGATGGCTAATTACCAACTGGAACAGGGTTACCAGGAAGGCAGGGTGGGCAAGGCCAAGACTCAGGGACTCAGCTTGACGTGCTATTGGGAGGATGGTAGGGCGGGTGTCCTGGAAGGATGAGAAGGATTCCCTCTTGTGAACACAGAAATGCAACTCTGGTGCCCCCAAGTGTTTTGTTGTTGAATTGCACCTTAAATAATAATAATAATAATTTATTAAACACCTTTGCTTCAGTTCACTAAAGGCTTTGATGTTGATGGCTGAGGCAGAACTCAATAAACGCTTAAGAGACCATCGGAAAATGATTGAAGAAGGAAGAGGACGTGGGAGTGGGACTAAGAAGGATAGCATTCATCCTAAAGAACTAAAAGGATGAGACATTAAACAGAGGCCCTGCCTCCTCGAGATCTCAAAGCACTTCACAGGATTGTTGTTGATTTGCAGTTTTTATTCCCTTCACCCTACTACCTCTGTCCTGCTCCATGTCTCCATCCCCTCCACCCACCACCTTGCCTCATTCTGTGGAACTCACTTCAACATACACAGTCACTACACTGTACCGTAACATGTCCAAGACAGTATTGCAGGGTACATTACATAGTAGTTCTCTAGGGTGTAAAGTGGAGCTTCTGTGTGTTTTGTGGGTGGGTAAATTGGTGGCCCACTGATCTGAGAGGAGCTGCTATAGAGAAGACTCAAGTAGATTACAGCCCAGAGAAGGTTGGGAGACTTGATAGGAGAGGACAGATCCCCTGGCGAAGGCCGGCCAGACCCACCTTGGTTTGCTTCTTCTCAGTGGCGTAGACAATTGAGGTGCAGCACACCTCCGCGATCTTCCGGCCCTGCCCGTAGAAGGACCAGCAGCAGATCTCGTCTCCGAGCACGTCCTTTATGAAGAGGACCCTCCCATTGAAGCGCAGGGACAGCTTGTCAAACAGCTCGATGTTCTTCAGCATATTGTCATCCGAGTTACTGAGAGGAACATAACATGGAGGATGTGAGGAGCAGAACCACGGACACGTACAGCACAGAAGGAGGCAGGCCATTTGTGGCCCTCTGAAAGAGATCGCCATTTTATCCCATTCTCCTGCTTATTCCCGCTCCCCCCATACACCCGTGTACTGCATATTTCTCCTTGTCAGAAGCGAATACAGATTCTTAGTTCAATCATGGAGCCAGGTCAGGCATTCCATGCTCTAGCAACCCTCCAGTGTTCTTTAGGTAATCTGTGTCCCCCGAGTTATTGACTCACTGACCAATGGAAATAAATTTCTCCCCCTTCTCTTCATCAAAATCCCTCATAATTTTACCTCAAGTTAAACTGTGGTAATGTACCTGTATATTTGCAGGTGACTGTGTTCTCTTACCTGGTGTAGGAGTATTTGTTGTTGCTTCTGTTGTATAACAGTTTAACTGCAGGCTGGAAAGGCAAAGGCAAAGATGTCAGCTCGTGTTCTGCAGCTCAAAGCAATTAGTTGGACGAGTTAGATTATAATAATCCTTGCATTTGATATAGCACCTTATCACGTCGTTGATAGGTCTCAAAGCACTTCACAGGACATACTGTAAAGTGAAGTAATTGTATTTCGTGGTGAAACATGGCAGCCAATTGCGGACAGCGCCCCACAAACAATCATGGATTGAGTGAGCAAATTTTTATTTTTTTTTGGAGGGATTATTACCCCCGGAAAGTGATCCACCAATTGTCTAAAAAATGGGATCCTACTTGTATGGAGTAAGGAAACTACCTCAGGTTTCACCCTCCCTAGGAATCGAACCCGGGTCTTCTCGCTTGCAAGGTGAGCGCTCTAACCCCTACGCTACAGGTGCCCCACTTTGCCGACTCACCTTATTTGAGGTTGCTATCAATCGCTGCTCCTCCTTGTTTGATGTTATCACAGGAACTTTACAGAAAGGTTCGTAAGTTTCCTTCTGCTGTAAAAGAGATGCAAAAGAGAAGCTCTCAATTGGCACAAGGTCCGCATTACATTCCAGTCGTCAGGCAAATACTGATCAGCGCAATTTAAACAGACCGAACGTTTCTCAACCTCAAGCGAAGAGAGAATTTTCACTCCCTGTCACTGGGAGACACTCATATCCTGAGTCAACGCTCTCTCCCTCTCCTTAAAAGTGACCTTTTGCATGAACTGCGTTGTATAATGGTAAAGTGCTGCTAACTCCCTTATGCTGCAAGTCTGACAGTGAGCGTGGTGTGGTTTGCAATTTTGAGGACGTTTCACTGGGTCTTACATCAGCCTTATCCTATCCACATGCACAGATTTTCCCACTGAATAGTGAACAATTGCAGGGATTTGCGTTGAATTCTCCTCTGTACACCCCCAGGATGATGGTGGGCAGGGGTGGGGGGGGGTGGGGGGGGAGAGAATCTTGACATCAGATTCAGTCAGAATATATATATACACACACAGAGAAAGGACTGGAGGTCAAACTGAAGCTCGCTACTGAATGACACAAACAACAGCTCCTGTCATACAGGCTTGCACCCATCAGGAGAAGCAGCGACAGAGAAGTAATAATAATTATCCTTCCATTTGACATGGCCCTTATCACATCGTTGAGACGTCCCAAAGCGCTTCATAGGATACACTGTAACGTGGATTGACTGTGTATGTTGGCTTTACCTGAAAGGCTGCCTGACATTCCTCCACCAGCCCCTGCACCAGGTAGTACTTGGCCTCTGCCAGTAGCTCCTCTATTTCCCTGTTGGTCTCAGGCAGCGGCACAGCCCCATCCCGCAGGTAGTTCAGAATGGCCCCGAAATGCTTCCCACAACGGTCAATCAGGATCCAGCCTGAGGGAACAGCAAGAGGTCAGGAGATTCAATCCCAGTTTCCTCCTCAATCCCAGGCGCTCTCTCTCCTCCCACGCTACACGACCCCGCAAACGAGCGGACCTGGGTTCGATCCCCGGGCGGGTCAAAACCTTAAGTCACGTTTCCTCACTCCACACACCTCGGCTTACCCAGCGGCAGACTAGGGAGCCGGTTGCCAGTCAGGGAGCGGAGGGGAAGAGGGACAACGATCGGCCACGATAATAATAATAATAATAATCCTTGCATTTGCTATAACGTTTTTCACGTTGGGAGGACGTCCCAAAGCGCTTCACAGAACACACTGTAAAGTGAATTGACTGTATATTTGTGGGCGAACGCGGCAGCCAATTGCGCACAGCAATGTCCCACAAACAGTCGTAGATTGACAATGACCAATTTATTATTGTTTTTGGTTTTGGAGGGATTATTATTAGGCTCTGTGTGGAGTAAGGAAACTTGCCCAAGGTTTCACCCTCTGCCTGGAATTGAACTCAGGTCTCTCACTTGCAAAGCGAGTGCTCTAACCACTGAGCCACAGGACTCCACGATCTCACAGAAAGGTGGAACGGGGCTCGAGCGGCTGAACGGGCCGGGCCGGTCCGGGCTCCTGTCCCTATGACAGGCCGGGAGGCCAAACGCGTTAAGGCGAGCGGGGAGGGGTCGGGAGGGGTCGGGAGGGGCGACACAAAGCAGCGGTTTTACCTTCGCTGTCCGTCAGCACCTCCATCCTGCCGCTGAACATGGCCTTCAGCATGGTGTCCTGCTTGGTCAGGGTCTGCATGGTGGTGTAGTACAGGGCGCCCCCCACGTTCAGCTTCACGTACTTGGAGCTGGGGCTGTTGCCCTTGAAGGAGGTGGTGCGAGTCGTTGCCGCAGGAACTGGGCTCACTGCACTGTCTCCCGACATTCTCTCTTCCTGCGCGAGGACAGCAAGTGGGTTAATAACGATAATAATAATAATAATAATGATAATAATAATAATAATAATGATAATAATAATGATAATGATAATAATGATAATAATAATAATGATAATAATAATAATGATAATAATAATGATAATAATAATAATAATAATAATGATAATAATAATAATGATAATAATAATAATGATAATAATAATAATAATAATAATGATAATAATGATAATAATAATAATAATGATAATGATAATAATAATAATGATAATAATAATAATAATAATGATAATAATAATAATGATAATAATAATAATGATAATGATAATAATAATGATAATAATAATGATAATAATAATAATAATAATAATAATAATCCTTGCATTTGATATAGCGCTTTTCACGTCGGGAGGACGTCCCAAAGCGCTTCACAGAATATACTGTAAAGTGAATTGACTGTATATTTGTGGGCGAACGCGGCAGCCAATTGCGCACAGCAATGTCCCACAAACAGTCGTAGATTGAAAATGACCAATTTATTATTGTTTTTGGTTTTGGAGGGATTATTATTAGGCTCTGTGTGGAGTAAGGAAACTTGCCCAAGGTTTCGCCCTCTGCCTGGAATTGAACCCAGGTCTCTCACTTGCAAAGCGAGTGCTCTAACCACTGAGCTACAGGACTCCACATAATAATAATAATAATAATAATGATAATAATGATAATAATAATAATCGCCTCATCACGTCTCCCGAGACGTCTCAGAGCGCTTCACAGGATACGCTGCGAAGTGTAGTGACTGTGCGTTTCGCGGGAGGTAACGCCTCAGCCGGTTGCGCCCGGCGGCGTCCCCGCGGTTGGGGTGAGAGTAGGGGGGGGGTGGGGGGGGGGTTGTGGGAATGCAAGTTGTTGTTGTCGTCGTCAGCAGACACCCAGGCCCCAGGCCTCGCCCCGGCCCGCGGGCCGCGCGGGGCCCGCGAGCCGGGAGTCCGTGTGTGTGTGTGTGTGTCAGCCCGAGAGAGAGAGAGAGAGGGAGAGGGGGAGAGAGGGAGTCCCGGGGCCCGCGCGCGGTCTCGCTCCCACCCGGAATGTTCCCGAAGCTTCTCCGCTCACCATCAACCGCCGCCCGCCCGCGAGCCCCGCTTCCCTGTGTCTGGGCCCCCGCCGGAAACCGACTCCGCTCTGAACACGGGGACTTCCGCCCCGCTTCCGCGTCACGATCAGGGACTTCCGCCCCCCGCTTCCGCGCCACACACACAGGGACTTCCGCCCCGCACCGCGTCACACACACACACACACACAGGGACTTCCGCCCCGCTGTGTCACGCGTCAAATCCTCCGGTGCTTCTAGCCACTGCCCTGCGAAGAGTTCCGTGCCCCCCCCACATAGTCTCTCAGTGTTGTAGCTGTGTGTATGTGTGTTTGAGGGGAGGTGGTGGTGGTGGTGGGGTTGGGGGGGGGGTCTAATGCTTCAGGATCACTGACCAGGTCCCGGCCCCAGCCCCGTCTTTCTCACGGCCAATGGAGTTGGGTCTCGATTGACCCCACCCACCCCCCCACCCCCCTAACCCCCCACCCATCCGCTGTGACCCCAACATCAATATTTATAATACTTATAATAATAATCATCATCATCGTCATCGTCATCATCCCTGCCTTTGGTCCGGAGCCTTTCACGTCGGGAGGTCGTCTCGAAGCGCTTCGCAGGACTTACTGTAAAGTGTAGTGACTGTGCGTCTCGCAGACGAGCGCGGCAGCCCAATTTGCGCCCAGCGACGTCCCCGCAAACAGCCGTGACGTGAACGATTGATTTTATCTGAGGAGGGGGATTGTCGGCCAGGAGACCGGGAGAGAGAGAGAGAGAGAGAGAGAAACTCCCTTCTCTTTTCCAATAGTCCCACAAGATCTTTGAAGGCACAGAGGGTGGGGGGGGGGGGGGGGGTGGGGGGGGAGTTTAATGTTTCATCCGAACAATGAGGGCTCTGGCAATGAGCGCTGATTAGCTCAGAGGTGCATCGTGGTTGCGTTGCTGATCGGTCAATGTGGGGTTCGAGAGGAACCATTGTTCCCTTTGACCGTTCACTGCCCCTTGTGGTCTTCAGGAAGCCTCAGAGGCGAGAGTGTGACCGACAGAGCCGGGGCTGACACACAGGTCATGATTCAGTCCGTCCACTGAACCACAGCCCACATTCCTGCGTCAATGCATCTTTTATTTCCCATCAACAGTTTCACCCCCACTCTCACCCCCGCCCCCCCCCCCCACCAAAAAAAGGTGCAAATAAACAGGAGCAAAGTTTCCACGTTCTACAAGACGTAAATCAAATGAAATTGGGGGGTAAAAAAAAATGACAAATTTTAATGTTCAATATTTTCCAGAGTTTCAAGAATAAAAGTTATCCGGATTATTTTTTGACGTAATAAAGGTTCCGACTCGGCAGCGGAGGATCCATGGATTAGAGAAAAGAATCCACGATCAGGAATGGGGAGCAGATGGAACCTCTGGGGGACTTGACGAGAACGGGCGACTGACACAAAGGTCACAACAACAACAAATTACATTTACATTTCACATCGGGAGGACGTCCTAAGGTGCTGGACAATCAGGGATTTGGTCCCGAGTTCAAAGTACAACAACAACAACAACAACAATAACAAGTTCAGCTTGGTTGCGTCCATTTTGTTTGGTTCACATGAAGTGGCCCTGCCTGGATGGAGAGAGACAGAGAGCTTTGTGGAAGGGAAGCACGGCACCTGGAAGGAGAGGGAAGGAAGGAGGGAAGGAAGGAAGGAAGGAAGGAGGGAGGGAAGGAAAGAGAGAGGGGATAGAAAAGAACAAACATGGGCAATCGAAGCCCACGTTGACTCCTGGTGGCTGTTGAGACCTTTCCACTTGCTGACCAATGGCCCCCAGGTCTCTGCTTGCTCCACTTTCTGGGCTGAGGGGGCGCGTGGTGGGGGGGAACTCAGCAGGCGATGGATGATCTGCAAATGGGAGAAAGATGGAAAAATATGGGAAGAACATTTTTTGAACTGCAGGGAAACACGGCTTCCAAATTGAGACCTGGTTTAAGAATATCCCGCCATTCTGGCCAAAAAAACAGCCTCGTGGGCTTAGGTTGAATTTCGGGACTTGGAATTCCATCCTGTCCGGGATTTCCATTTGACCTGGTGATAATAATAATAATCCTTTCATTTGGTACAGAGACTTATCACCTCGTTGAGTCAACTCAAAGCGCTTCACAGAACATACTGTAAAGTGAGCTGACTGTGTATTTTGTGGGCGAAACGCGGCAGCCAATTGCGCACAGCAGCGTCCCCACAATCAGTCATGGATTGAGTGACCAATTTTTTCTTTGTAGGGATTATTACCTCCAGAAAGCGATCCGCCAATTGACTAAAAACTGGGATGATGACAACATTGTTCACTTCACTCACCAATCTTCAAGGTCCCTCTCTCACCAGGTTTCCCCATAAACGACAACCATCCTCATGACCTGGAGATGTCTCAAAGCGCTTCACAGAAAGTACTGTAAAGTGGTAGTGACTGTAGATTTTTGTTGCAGATGAAATTCCCCTGAAAACTCTGGCAGAGAGCATAATTCAAACCCTCTGATACCTACCGTTAAGGTATTATAGAGCAGGAGAAACGTTCTCTCCTCTTGACATCGTTCGTTCCACCGTCCCCATGTTAGTGTTACTGGATTAGTAAGTGTTAACTCTTTAGTGACTGTTCGGTGCAGACTCACCAGCATTCCCAGGGTTAATTTACAATCATAATCCTTCCGTTTGATACAGCGTCTTATCACGTTGGCGAGACGTCTCAAAGCGCTTCACAGGATATACTGTAAAATGTCGTGATTGTGTACTTTGTGGGCAAAATCTACACAGTAAACATATCCACAGTGTGAATCCACAGGGTGAAGCTACAGCTTGAATCTTAACAGGAATTCCTTGGCAGAGGTGTAGGCAATGGTGCGCTCCTCCTGAGAGCTCGGACCATATCGCTGGTGGATGGGAATTCCGAATAGGATTCCTCAACAAGACGCCATTAAGAAATAGCGCAGGATAAAGCCCCGTGAACAATGTTGGAAGCTGGTGATTTAAAGAAGCGGCGGGGAGGTGGGGGCGGGGGGGGGGGGCGGAAAGGGGAGGGTTACACAGCGTGGGGGTTAAACGGCAGCAGGTCTGCACAGAACAGTCTGATTAGTCACAGTTAATATGGTTAGTGAGGTTAGTAACACCAGAGCCCTTGTTCATTATTAGTTATTGGGTTAGACACACGCATATCCTGCAAACGGCAAAAAACACACACAGAGCACATGTCTACACGGGTTCGGGGACATCAGCAACCTATTAACCCTCCCCCCCCCCCCACCGCCCCTACCCCTTCAAAACACCCTGTGTCACCTGGAATTTCCTGCTTGCAAGCACTAAATTCCTCCTTACAAACACTCAGCACACGACCGGGTGACTGCTAACCTCCCTGCGGCTGTGTGTAAAGGGACAAAGAAGAGGGAAAGCTTGCCAGACCGTGCTCTCAACGGCAAAGCTGTGTGGTCTTAGCTGGTCAGACTCCAGCAGTTGCCCCACAACGCACACTCTCCCAACTCCTTCCAAACCTTGGCTCTCACGCCAACCTGCGCCCGATACTCTCCGGAATTAGCTGAGCAGGATACGTCTCTCCAGAAAGAAGGAAAGAGAGAGAGAGAGAGAGAGCACATTTGCTTCCAACAATTTAGCTCTGGGATTTCCAAGTGTAGATGGAATGCAGGGAATTCTCAGTCGGGGTTTGGCACGGTGATGGGTTTCCGCGTGTGTCAAACACCCAGCTGACCCCAAACCCCCACTGCAAAGTGTTGCGTAATAGTAACACAGCCTTGGGACCTGGGGTTTGGCCCCCACATGATTGGGGCTGGGTACCTGTTTCCCCCCCTTCCCCCCACACTGCTCTCCCCCCACACCGCCCCAGTGCTGAGTGGCTATAGACAGGAATATTACTGCCTGAATATCCTGGAAATTCCCATACACTACAAAGCATTTAAAGGGACGCTGCCACCCTGCAGAGATTGGGGAGCCTTCCTCATCCAACCAGACCCGGTCACTCACTCACTCTGTCTGCTCATCACTGCCGTCAAACACCCAAGGTTTTACCCCGTCCGGGAATCGAACCCGGGACCTCTCCCTCCCTCCCGCCCTCCCCTCCGGAAAGCGATCCGCCAAGCCACTAACAACTTTAATGAAATAAAAAATAATAATGATTTAAAAACAATAATAATTAACGGCTGGAGGGTGGTCAGGGTGCCTACAGGATGGCACCGTGTGTCAAGAAGCAAAGAGGGGGAACGGGGGATACAGAAGGGTATTGAAGGGACCATTTAACAATATCTGGGTCGAATGTTCAAAGCTCCAGCTGTGTTAACATCTGCGGGGTTTACAGGCGGACAGAGGTGAAATACGGCTCTGGTGTGTTGGCAGAGAAAGGCTGAGGTGGGGGGGTTGGGGGCGAGGAGATACAGGAGCCAGGACAGCGTACCCAACCCTGTACTCCCAGGTCTCCTGGGATTCTCGTTATTCCCAGGAACCTCTTACATACACTTCCCCTTCCTACTTTATCCTCGTCACATTCACAACACGTGACAGAAACACACGGGTGTCACATTTGTCGTGTTCACAACACGTGACAGAAACACACGTGTCATCTTTGTCACACTTAAGCCCGACTCATGGGGTGGGGGTGGTGGTGTGGGTGGGAGGCAGAAAGAGAAATGAAGGGTGGGGGGGGACTGGGATTCATCCCAAATAAGGCAGCGTCCCTTTCAACAGCGGAAAAGTGGAGTCGAGGTGTGTGGAAACGGTGCTTTTTACAAACAAAAACATATAAAGACCAGAGTGTAAAAAAAAAAGATTTTTTAAAAAACAATCCGCACACACCCCTCCCCCTCAGGGAGATTGCGTCGAAGACACGACACGCATGCATTGCAAAGCTTTGGGGGCCTTCGCCCTCCAATGTTAGTATGCGGTTCACTATTAGTCGTGTTAGTAACCGTTAGTAAAAATGGCCAGCGATGGATCACTGGCTTGAGGGCAAGGGATTAGTACCTGTTCTCTTGGAGCTAAGATATCAGCCCTCACAAAGGAAATACATTAGAGTTTTCTGTGTCTCC